GTAAAAGTTGTAGTTAGTGATGAGTTGGCCAACTCATCACTAACTACAACTTTTACCCGTTGTTCTAACAACGTTAAGACGGCTTATCGACTTCTTGAGAAGAATTCTAAGAAGAAAGTAAACCTACAGACATCGGTCTTGTTTAACAAAAAAAAACAGCTATAAATACAAACAGAAAAACACTGAAAAACTGTATGCATGTTAATATTGTTTTCAAGAAAACACTATCAAAATAAAATTACAAAAATAAGGTTTAGATAAAATGGAAAACACGTAGTTCAACTGTTTGTAAGTATCATTCGACTGAAAATCACACAAGCAGTGTAGGACACCTCTACAAACCATCTAAAACATAATACAAGTATGATCAACTCAATTAGGATGTGGGAGATTTAATCTAATTGTGCTGCCATAATGGTGGGAAAGTTTGGTATGGGATTTGTTTTCATTCTATGATCATTTAATTTTAGACAGATTTTATATTATTAAAATACTCTTTCATTATTCCAATTTCTGATATTTTTTATCTTTGGTTATTTTTAATAATGAAAATATTCCCACACAAATATACAGTCCATGGCTTTAGAAGATAGCACAGGTTATAAATTTTAATAAGAGTAAATATCACAGATATGCAAAACAATTGTTCATTTGTACTTAGTACTCACCACATACTGGAAAACAAGGTCTGGATTCCCTTGGAGGAAATTAGATACTTTACAAAGCATGCCACCATGTTCTGTGTACTTGACACCATCAATCGAACAATGTTTGAAAATCATATCATTCTCTGTTAGAGTTCCAGTTTTATCAGTGAATAAATATTGTACCTGTTAATAAAAGAAATAATCTATATGACGTTTATGTAATAATAAATGGATAAAAGTTATAATTTCCTAAATATGCTTGTCATATAAATTTCATGAATAACAAAATTCATTTAAATGGGTGCCAAAATTAATGATTTTTTATGAACCAAATTTTATATTCAAATACAAGCATCTCAAATACTACAAACATGTAACATTGATCTTATCACCATGAACAACCAATCCATTCTTCAAATTATACTAAATAGCTACTCCTTTGTGATTCAAATGAGAGAAACTTTAGTAGGTATGTACATTAAATTTATAATTATTTTTATTACTTGAGCTTATAACAAATGCAGAGACCAAATGTCTGGTCTACCATCCTTAATTGAAAATCCTTTAGTCAATTATACAAGATGTTTTAATTTATTGATTAGCTAGATTGGCCAAATTATGTTGAGAATATTAAAATTTTCCTTACCTGAAAATGTATTTTCAACAGATACTTATATACTCTTGAGTTCACTCATTCTGCCTGAGAGGTTTTACATGCCACCAGCCTTGTAAGAACTTCCACCAAATTTCACGTTTTTATGTGAACTTGCACTACTACACAATGATGTATCATACAGCAAAACTCTCTATGTGACACACCTCCACATGCAAATCCTCCATCTACATTCGCATGTGAGAATCTTCATTCTTTAATGAAGCAATACAGACAGTTGCATCAATATAGTCGGGACAATGGGTGGGAATGTTATCGAAGGTATCCATTGGAAATACATTTTCTGGTAAGGAAAATGTTAACTTCTGAAAGGAATACTCACCTCCATATACAGATAGCTAGAATGCAACACTGAGATGGTAGAGGGACTGGTGCAAAGATTACCTAGATGAGCTTCCTTTAGAAAGCATCCAAAGGAGCATACCTATGGAAGATTGCATCTTGTCTCATCTAGAGTATACTCTTTTTCTGTGTATAAGAAGAGGCTTAGAGGTCACAATTATTGTGTACAAGTACTCAAACATAAGCCATCAGACAGCCAATACATGTAGTGAGGTTGGGGCTCATTCAGACTGTACCTTGTGTGCTCACCTCCTCTACCATTAGTCTCAACAGGTGAAAAACAGTGTGGGAGAAGGACACTTGTGATAAGTATCCACGCTTACCTCCTCAACCACCAGTCACTACAAGCCCCTTGCCTACTGTACAAGCAGGGTGTGTGAGTGATACATTGCAGTTGTATAGTGACTGGTTCATCTACTAAACTGTCAGACTCAGTGGGCTCATATCAGTTGCAGGAACAGTAATTGTGAGAGAAAGGTATGTATAAATGAGTGATACAATTATATGTATCCACATTCCACTTCAAGATTGTGATGTGTCTAATGTATATCTATGTGAGGTGAACCACACTACACTCCAGAAACATCCCAGCCCCTCTTCCTACTATAGAGGAACCACTAGTTCTAGCCCCAATGGTTATCTCCCAGTTAGTGAGGATTCTCAGTGGTCCATCATTCCAGTAACGGGAGCTGGTAAGTAGCAAGGGTCTCCCATGCTCCACTCAACAATAGGGAAAAATTCATGTAGGGGAGGCCCAGAGGATGTGCTTGGATCACCATCAGTCTCTCTGTCCAGAAAGGTCTTTTACTGGAGACAGTGCAATTTAAAGCTGACTGGCATGAGCCAGAGAAGTAGGCAGGTACACAACTCTGGTGTTGGCTTTTTCCATGATAGTCCAGGGAATGGATACAATCTGGATCGAACAGAAACGTAATATATTTATATTTAGAAATACCATAAGGAAACCTCAAGTGGGTATGTGTAGAGTGATATGTAGGGGTGGATCAGAAGGGATGGAATGTTAGGAAAGGGAAGTCAGGGTTGATATGAGAGGAGACTGAGTAATAGAAACTATGGTTAGGATCACCAGTAAGAGGCCACCAAAAAGACCCTTCAAGGAGTGTTCCAAAACAGAGCAAGGACATGAGGGGGGCGATGGAGACAAAAATAGGCATTATGAATGAATGGAATAGGCCCAAACTATGTCTGAACATTATCTTCTATGTGTACAGTTACGAAATTTAACATTATCTACTATAAATAAATGTTAAGGAGTAAGTAAGTAACCACAACTAAACATTATTTACAATGTATGACATGTTAAGGAGTAACTGATTATGTCTAAACCTTATCTTCCAATTGTTTGTGAAGTAGTAATGAACCAGATCTAATCATTATTATCTATGTGAACATGTTAAGGAGTAATGAACTAGAATGAAGCATTATCGTCAACATGTTACATGTCAAAGAGTATTGAATGAGATTCAAACATCATCTTCCATGTTTATATATTAAGGAGTAAATAACTAAAACTGAAGATTATCTTCTACAAGTACATGTTAAGGAGTAAAAAACTATGATGAAACATTAACCTTTATGTGTACATGTTAAGGAGTAATTAATTAAATCTAATTATTATCATCAATGTGTTATATGTTAAGGATGAATAAATGATATTGAACTATTATCTTCTAAGTGTACACGGTAAGGAGTAATGAAACAGAATTAAACATTATCATCTAAGTGTACATGTCAAAGAAGAAATAACTAGATTGAAGCATTAACTACCATGTATATGCATTAAGGAGTAATTAGCTATAATTAAACAGTATCTACTATGTGTACATGTTAAGGAGTAATAAACTATGATTACTTTATATGTGTATCTGAGGAGTAAATAAATATGAAGAAACATCATATTCTGTATGTTATACATTAAGAAGTAATGAACTAGATCTATGTAATTAGTTACGTGTTAAGAAGAAATAAACTATATCTAAACAGCAACTTCTATGTTCTACCTGGAAGGTAGGGAGGACAAAGTATAAAACAGCAGGAGTGAAGCTGAACCTGGAGGAAGTACTGGACACCAAACTAAGAATAGAAGGTTTACATAAGGTGAACAGAAAAGTGAGAAGATATTCATTAGATACAGAAGTATTCTTAAAAAATTTGGTGGAAAAAAGCACTCAAAGTCATCCTCTTCAATGTCAAGCCCAAAACATTGGCAAAGGAAATGAGTGGAAGGGATAACAACAGAGGGTCCTGGCTGCATAAGAACCATGTTATATGATGCAAGATGATAGTTATGTCTTCCACAGAAAACTTCAGCAGAAATGGTGGTACGATATTCTGTGTGAGGAATCTCACCACCCACATTAGCAGAGATAGAGTTCACAGTGATCTGTAAAATCATATTGTGTATGTTAATCTCAATCAGATTGAAAGTCAAGAAAAAATTGCAAGTCTCAGCATACTAAAAACCCGTCCGAATTGACTGTGCCAAAGAAAAGAATGAAGATTTTCACATCAGAAATTAGAGGGAGGATTTGTGCTTGGAAACTCCTATTGGTGGAGGAATTTGCTGCATTACATCATCATATAGCAGTGAAAATTCATGTGGACACATTTAAAAATAAGGTGGAGTTTTCACAACTTCTATAAGATAAGATGTTTTTGAATAATTTTTTAAAAAATAAATCAAATATTTTATCAGAACTTGTTGGGTGCCAAATATTTTATATATCTTTCATAATATAACTTAAAAATTACAATTAATTTTACTGCTTGATGAAAGACAAATTTTTAACTTTCAGACTATTCATGCTTCCTCAGCTCCAGAAGAAGTTATATACCTCTGGGGTTAGTTAAAGCTTTTAAGAGATATATACTGTAATTCAAATCCTGGCCATGATACTAGACTAACAATTTGGTTCTTGCATTAGGTTGGAATTGTGTATATCCTTTGTGAAGATGAATCGTCAGATTCACTTATGCATAAACTATGCAAGTTTCCTATTTCTCTTATCATTCATTTAAGTACGTACATATAACTAAACATTTAAAAAAATGTATACCTGCAAAATATTAAGACAAAACACCATGAAAGTGTTTACAGAAATGTTTAATCCTAAAAAAAATATAAATTCAAAACATGAAAGTTAGAAAATATCAAACACTTAACATCAACAGACATATAACTATCTCAATAAACTGACAAATCAAAAAACTGAACTTTGATTTCATCATCAAGTCTTGCAAAAAGAATGTAATAAACTTCTTCAAGTGAGGAATGACAGTAGATAGGGTCACTTGACATATACATCTGAATTCATGTAACCCAGGCTGTACAGACTGCTTATTTTCCAACAGTAATAGTGTTTATGGTGATGTGATATGCAAAAACGAAATATCTCATGTTCTTACAGTTTATATGTTTCATATGTCCAAAACTGTTAAATTTCTAGAGTTCTAATTCAGAGCATGCTAAATCCAGTTAAGGTCATGTGTTAATTAAACACTGTAGCAGAATTCAGTCATGTAAACCATCTACTGTTTCCTGAGATGGTTGTATTGAACTACTTTATCCTGTGTGCATAGCATTGTTCTACAACACTCACATGGAGCAGAAATATTTTGAGATATATATGTGATCCAATTTTTGGATTGGTCAGTTACATAGAAAAGGCAAAATATGAAGGCAGTTTTGGGTTTTCAAGCAGATTTTTGGTACATGTCTTGGAAGTGCTAAGGACTGCTGTAATGTTTTGTCTTCATTTTATGTCATATATGACCTGCTGACCATGTGCTTTTTCTAAAAGAAAATTAAAATATTTCAGTATATTTACATTTTCTTCCATTAAATCCAGTTCCATTTTTTTTTACCATGTTATCTAAGTACAGTTCTATTTCCTTTATTTTTCATGATGTTAGGAAAACCTGCAGGTTCAAGAAATCAATTTAACACATAAATATGATACCCTATAACCCGAGCACTTTTGAAACTTTCCTAGACCTTTCTTCTTCAGGAGCATTTAATTTTCATGTCATGCAAATGGTTAACCTCAAATGTAAAGACTAACAGTGGCATGAAGAACAACATATGTGACTGGAACTTCTACAAAGTGGAATAAAAACCGGAAGACAATGGCAATGAAAATAAGCTCAG